CTACCATTGCCTGGGACTGAGTATTCAGTTCCCCTTTGTTCTTGCATTAGTCAAACTGATTTGGATTGTAGTTTCAGAAACCCAGTTAAACAAGAAGGACAATGTATTATAAGTATACAATAATATTTCACTCAGTAGGAAAATATTCTGTGATGAAGCAAAAGATGGACCCCCAGACTTGATGGCTTTCAATTTTCTTTCCATGTCTTTCATTTTTTGCTCCATTATTTACATCTGCTTCACTATTCTTCATATTTTCAGGCTGACTTTCTCTGCTTGTGAATCTACAGAGTGGGAAATATATGGCTGTTAGTAGCCTGTGCGTTTCCTGGCTCCCAGTCTGCTCAACCAAAGAAAGATTACATACAAACCCAATTCAGAATAGCCATTTGGTCCAGCTAGAGGAAGAGATGATTGTCCTAGCTTAAATATTGGGCCCACTTTAAATCTAGCATTTTTAGTAGGAGACAGTAGTGTTATATGGACATGACTGCTTCTGCTATAACTGTATATATGGGGTATTTCCCCCCACCAAATGGAGCCTTTTCCGGAAAAGGGAAATCATGAAGTCTAGTTGCATGGCTTAATAGATGTCCTTCATTGTTATCAGTACTCACTCAACCTTAATTCCCAAGCACCAGTCATAGCTGCAAAGACCCATCTTTACTGGGAGGAGAGGTTAGACATTAAATTATTTCCCTTTTCCAACCTCTCCAAATTCTATTCATTCTTAAGGTCCAGCTCACTTAACAATCTCCTCCATTAACACTTTAAAATTATTTATTGTCTAATATCTTTTCAAAAATCTCTGAATATAGAAGTGGGTTAATAGAGTTCAGACAAAGTATAACATTTTCCCTCTTATAATTTCAAGTCTTCGGGTTATTTTCTTTCTATTGGATTGTCTGTCTTTGTCATAATGATATACAAGAAGCATTTTATACATTCTCTATATGAGTCTGGGATGATTTAAATGAATGACCACAAAATTCACTGACATTTCTCCTCTCTTGAGGTGAGATCTTTGTTTTCTACCCTGGATTCTAGGTGAGCTTTTACTTGCTTAACCAATATAATATGCTAAAAAATAATACCATGTGACTTCCAAGCCTAGGTTATAAATAATGATACAGCTTCCACTTTGTTTGCTGGAACATTGGTGCTGAAGCCCTGAGCCACCATGTAAGAAGTTCTACTGTCTTGATCAGATGCTGTAGAAGACATCTATAAGCATGGAGAGGTCACAAGTCACTTTCTGCCTTTGAGTCTTCCCAGACGTGGTCCCAGACTCTGAGGATCAGGCACAAGCCATTCCCACTGTGTTACTCCTAAATTTTTAACAGCCAAATACATTAGTCTATCAAAATGGCTATTTTATACCATTTAAATAATTATGGGGTAATTTGTTACACAGCAATAGCAACTGGAGCAATGTCCCTTGTCAGTTACATGAACTTTCCCACTTTGCAGCTTGCCTTTTCTTCGTTTTCTTTCTTTTTTTTCCTTTTTGTGTATTGACATACAGCATTGTATAAGTTTAAGGTGTACAACATATTAATTTGATACATTTATATTGCAATTTGATTGCCATAGTAACATTAACCAACCTCTAACACCGTTTTATTCTCTTAATGGTGGCTGTTGATGAAGAGAAACCAATTTTCAATCTTATTTTTCATGATTGGTGCTTAGAGTGGTTCTGTTTGATAAATGCTTTCCTGCCCAAGGGTTAAAAAGATATTTTCGTATATTAACATTTGGAAGCTTTACTATTTTACTTTTATTTATTATCTGCAATCCAAATGAAGTTAATTTTATATGACATAATAGTCAAGATTCATTTCTTTTTCCTTATGGCTATCCAGTGGACCCAATACCATTTACTGAAAACCTGATCTTTTCTTCATTTGTGTTTGGATCTATTTTTGGATAATCTATTTTTTTTTTCATTGGTCTTCTTATCTTTCCTTCCACACTACCATGTCTTAATTACTGTATCTTTGTAAGTTTTTATATATGATTGCATAGGTGCTTTGACTTTTTTTGAGAAATTATAGTTCTTGAATATTTTGAGGCCTTTGCATTTCACATGAAATTTTAAATCAGCTTTTCAATTTACACGTGCGCGCGCACACACACACACACACACACAGTTGTGTGTATTGCAGTTGTTTTTAACCTATGGATCAATTTGGGGAGAATTTACATCTTTACAGTATTGGATTTTCCAATTCATAAACAAGATTTATTTCTCTATTGGAGTATCTTTTAGTTTCTCTCAAAAATGATATAGGGTTTTCTGTGTAGAAGTATTACGTTAACTTTTGTAGGGTTATGCCTAGATATTTGACATTTATTTTGCATTTTAAAAGATGTTTTGTTTTCTATTTTAATTTGATGTATCTTTGTTTCATATACGTGGGTGTGCATGTATTGATCTTGTACACAGTGACCTTGCTAAATTTGTAATTTAAAGTAGTGTTTATCTCAAGATATCTTTGGATTTTCTTCACACACAATTACATTATCTAAAAATCATGATACTTTTATTGCTTCCTTTCTAATCTTTTTTTATAGTTTATTATTTTTCATCCCTGAATAGAGCCTTTATTCCTATATATAATAGAAATAGTGATAGCTAGTATCCTTTCTTGATCCCAAACTTGGGATAAAGGGCTTAACAACTCAGCATAAAATACGATAATTATCTTATTTTTTTAGATGTCCTTTATCATATTGAGTAACTTTATTTCCTAGTTTGTGAAGTGTCATTTGTTTTTTTAAAAATAATGAATAAAACAGAATTTTATTACATGTTTTTTGTCTTTCCTTATTGACAATTATGTGCTCTTCCTCCTTGGTTTGTTAATATGGTCAGTTATAATAATCGGTTCTCAAATGTTAAACCAACTTCACATTCCCATAATAAATGAGATTTGGTTGTGATGTACTATTCTTTTAAAATATTGCTGGATTCTTTTTGCTTTCTTTTTATTTGCATCTATGTGTATCGGTGAAACTGACTTATAATTTCCTTTTCTTGAAATAGCCTTGTCAGATATCAGCTCTGCTACTTATATATTATTTACACACAAGTTTACATATATACAAATATATATAATATACATATATATTTATATAAATAAACCATATATAAACTTTAATGTATATAAAATATTTATATATAAAAACTATATATACTTTAAATAAAATATACTTTATTATAGACATATGTAGTATATTCAGGGAATATGATGTCAGAGTTATGCCAGCTTTACAAAACAAGTTAGACAATTTATTTTTTATGATGAAGACATTGGGACCTAGAGCTTATTTGCAGGAAACTGTTTGTTTCTGTATAGAATAAAATATAATTGTGTGGGGTATATGGAGTTTTTAGTAGCAAAACATAAATTGTATATGACTATTCAGATTTTCTAATTTAAAAAATTTTTTGAGGTATAGTTGATTTACAATATTGTGTTAGTTTTAGGTGTACAGCAAAGTTATTCAAGTATTTTTCTCAGATTATATTTTATTATAGGTTATTACAAATATTGAATATAATTCCCTGTGCTATACAGTAAATCTTTTTGTTTATCTGTTTTATGTATAGTAGTTTGCATCTGCTAATGCCATACTCCTAATTTGTCTCTCCCTCTCTCTTGCCTTTCATAACCATAAGTTTGTTTTCTATGTCTGTGAGTCTGTTTCTGTTTTGTATACAGATTCATTTGTGTTATTTTTAGATTCCACATATAAGTGATATCATATATTATTTGTCTTTCTCTGACTTACTGCACTAAGTATAATATTCTCTAAGTCCATCTATGTTGCTGCAAGTGGCAATATTTCATTTTTTAATGGCTGAATAATATTCCATTGTGTGTATATACCACATCTTCTCAAGCCAGTCCTCTGTTGATAGGTACCTGAGTTGCTTCCATGTCTTGGCTATTGTAAATAGTGCTGCTATGAACACTGGGATGCATGTATCTTTTCAAATTAGAAATTTTTGTTTTTTCCAGATATATACTGAGGAGTGGGAATCCTGGATCATATTGTAGCTCTATTTTTATTTTAAGGAACCTCCATACTGTTCTCCATAGTGGCTGTATCAATTTACATTCCCACCAACAGTGCATGAGGGTTCCCTTTTCTCCACGCCCTCTCCAGCATTTATTATTTGTAGACTTTTTGATGATAGCTATTCTGACCAGTGTGAGGTGGTACCTCATTGTGGTTTTGATTTGCACTTCTCTAATAATTAGCAATGTTGAGTATATTTTCATATGCCTGTTGGCCATCTGTTTATCTTCTTTGGAAAAAAACTCTGTTTAGGTCTTCTGCTCATTGTTTGATTTTTTTTCTAATATTAAGTTGTATAAGTTGTTTGTATATTTTTTAATATTAACTCCTTGTTGGTTACATTATTTGCAAATATTTTCCCCCATTCCGGAGGCTGTCTTTTCATTTTGTTGATGGTTTCCTTTGCTGTGCAAAAGCTTCCGAGTTTGACTATGTCCTGTTTGTTTTTGCTTTTAGTTCTTTTGCCTTGGGAGACTGATCTAAGAAAATATTGCTACGATTTATGTCTGAGAATGTTTTGCCTATGTTCTCTTCTAGGAATTTTATGGTGTCATGACTTATATTTAAGTGTTTAAATCATTTTGAGTTTATTTTTGTATATGATGTGAATCAGTGTTCTAATTTTATTGATTTACATATAGGTGTCCAGCTTTCCCAACACCACTTGTTGAAGAGACTGTCTTTTCTCCATTGTATATTCTTGCCTCCTTTGTTGTAGATTAATTGACCATAGGTGTGTGATTTATTTCTGGACTCTCTACTCTGTTCCCTTGATCTGTATGGCTATTTCTGGGCCAATATCATGCTGTTTTGACTACTGTAGCTTTGTAGTATAGTCTAAGGTCTGGGAGTTGTTTTGCCTCTGGCTTTGTTCTTTTTCTTCAGGATTGCTTTTGCATTTGGGGGCCATATAAATTTTAGGATTATTTTTACTAGCTTTGTGTAAAATGTCATGTGTATTCTGATAGAGATCACACCAAATCTGTAGATTGCTTTTGGTAGTATAGCCATTTTAACAATATTAATTCTTCTAATTCAAGAGCATGAGATATCTTTCCATTTCTTTCATCATCTTCAATTTCCTTTATCAATGTTTTATAGTTCTCAGCATGTAAACGTCACCTCCTTAGTCAGGTTTATTCCTAGGTTTTTTTCCAACACAATTTTAAACAGGATTTTTTTTTTAAACTTTCTGATATTTTATTGTTAATGTAAAGAAATGCAACAGATTTTCTGTATATTAATCTTGTATCCTGCTACCTTGCTGAATTTATTTATCAGCCCTAGTAGGTTTTGTGTGGAGTCTTTAGGGTTTCCTATATAGAGTATCATGTCATCTGCATATTATGACAATTTTACCTCTTCCCTTCCAATTTGGATACCTTTTATTTCTTTTTCTTGTCTGATTGCTGTGGCTAGGACTTCCAATACTATGTTGAATAGAAGTGGTGAGAGTGAGCAGCCTTGTCTTTTCCCTGAATTTAGCAGGAAGCATTTCAGCTTTTCACGATTGAGTATTATACTGGCTGTGGGTTTGTCATAAATGGCTTTTATTATATTGAAATATGTTTTCTCTATGACCACTTTGCTGAGAGTTGTTATCATAGATGGATGTTGAATTTTGTCTAATTATTTTCCTATGTCTATTGAAATGATCATATGGTTTTTGTCTTTCCTTTTGTTAATGTGGTATGTCACATTGATTGATTTATGTACGTTGAATCATCCTCGTGACCCTGGAATGAATCCAACTTGGTCATGGTGTATGATGCTTTTTATGTATTGTTGGATTCAATTTGCTAATATTTTGTTGAGGATTTTTGCATCTATATTCATCAAAGATATTAGTCTGTAATTTTATTTAGTGTCTTCATCAGATTTTGGTATCAGAATGATGGTGGCTTCGTAGAATTAATGTGGGAGTGTTCCTGCCTCTTCAATTTTTTTGGAATAGTTTGAGAAGGATAGGCGTAAGTTGTTCTTTGTATATTTGGTAGAATTCTTCAGTGAAGTCAGCTGATCTTGGACTTTTGTTTGCAGGGAGTTTTTTAATTGCAGATTCTATTTCACTTCTAGTAATCAGTCTGTTCAGATTATTTGTTTCTTCTTGACTCAGGTTTGGAAGGCTGTATGTTCCTAGAAGTTTGTCCATTTCTTCTAGATTGTCCAATTTGTTGGCATATAACTGTTCATAGTATTCTCTCATGATTTTTTGTATTTCTGTGGTGTCGGTTGTTATTTTGCCTCTTATACTTCTTATTGTGTTTATTTGGGTCTTCTCTCCTTCCTTCTTGGTGAGCCTGGCTAGGGGTTTGTCAATTTTGTTTATGTTTTCAAAAAACCAGTTCTTGATTTTATTGACCTTTTTCTATTGTTTTTTAATCTCTAGCTTATTTATTCCCTCTCTGATGTTTATTATTTCCTTCTTTCTGCTGACTTTGGGTTCTGTTTGTTCTTTTTTCTGATTCTTTTAGGTAGTAGGTTAGGTTGTTTATTTGAGATTTTTCTCAAGGTCTGTGTCACTCTGAACTTTCCTCTTAGAACTGCTTTGCTGAATCCCATAGACTTTGTAAGGTTGTGTTTTCATTTTTGTTTATCTCAAGCTATTTTCTGATTTCTTTGATTTCATCATTGACCCATTGGTCTTTTATTAGCATGTTGTTCTTTTCCCATTTTTCTTTCTGTGCTTGGTTTCTAGTTTCATAAAATTGTGGTCAGAAAAGATGCTTGAAATCATTTCTATCCTCAAAAATTTGTTGAAGCTTGTTTTATGACATAGTATATGGTCTATCCTAATTAAAAATTTTTTGTGTATTGTTTTTTTTTTAGAAATTTTACTTAATCTTTACAACAGTCCTAGAATGAAAGGAAGGAATGCCCATAAAACATATAGAATAAAAGACAAAAGTCTATTTTCTGTATTATAAAGCAGTTCTTTTCCCCTTTAGATGATATTTACTATTTATTGAAAGCAACAAAATATGTTTAACTTTTCTAAGATTTTCAATCATGCATTTACTTTGCAAGGCGATTCACAGCTATTTTCTCCCTATTCTAAGTGAGAGATGTGGATAGAAGGTATATTATATTCTTCCACAAAACAAGCATATTTGATTTCTTTTCCAGCAGCTTAATCTATCATTCTATAAAATTGTTTTCTATGATTTGTTTTTACCCTTTCATTTTCTCTATGATTTTTTTTTTAATTTAACCAAAGCCTCATACTTCATCAGATTTCCTCGGTTTTTTCCTAATGTTCTTTATTCTGTTTCAGGATTTTATCCAGGAATATCACATGACATTTAGTGATCAGGGCTCCTTAGGCTCTTCTTGGTTGTGACTGTTTTCTTACATTTTCCTTGTTTCTGATGACTTTGATAATTTTGAGCATTATAGGTTAGGTATTTTGGAGAATATCTGGCATGTAGGAATTTTTTGTTTTTCCCATGATTACACTGAGATAATGTGTTTGGGGGAGAAGACCACAGAACTAAAGTGCCATTCTCATTACATTAAATGAAAGGGACACTCTAGCAATATGACTTATCACTGTTGATGTTAACCTTGACCACCTGGATTGAGGCAGTGTTTGTCAGGTCTCTCCTTGGTAAAGTTACCCGTTTTCTCTCACTTTATGTACTGTAGTTTTTGAAGAAAGTCATTACATGCAGCCCATACTGAAGTGTGAATTTATACTCCTTAAAGGTGAGGTATCTACATAAGTCAGAATTGTTCTGCACAGGAGGTTTGTCTATTCTCCCATTTATTTATATATTCAGTCATTTATTTATATCAGGATGATCTCATGCATATTCCCTTTTTACTTTGGGTTATAATATAGTAATGCTTTATTTGTTGCTCAAATTTTTCCAGCTTTGATTATTGGGAACTTTTTAGTTGGATCCTATATTCCTTTGACATACTAACAAACATGGTGAGGTTTTTGGGTTTTGTTTGTTTGTTTATTCGTGTTCTGAATATTTTCTTATTTTTTTGTAGCACAACGTGGTCCAGGTTCATCTTGTATAGTTTCAATCCTTTCATAAAATCAGCTCTTTTTCCAAGGAATCTTGATTATTTGTTTATTTATTTTTAGTTGGAGAATGGCATTAGAAACCAAGATCTGGGTGCTAGGTGTGCTTTCTTGCAAAATTCTTGCTGGGTTATGTTTTCCTAGGTAATTTTCATTTTTTCCATTTAGCAAATTATTGGAATAAACTTGTTTGTAATATGTTCATATAATGTCTGTGTGATCTATAGTGATGTCACTGTTATCATTTGATATTGGTTATTTGGGCATTCTTTCTTTTTCCTTGAATAGCTTTGATAAGGGTATATAAATAATATTCTTTTCAAAGAAACAACTATTGGTTCTGTTGAACCCATTTATTGCATGTCTCTTCTTTTTTTTTTTTTTTTTTACGGTACGCGGGTCTCTCACCGTTGTGGCCTCTCCCGTTGCGGAGCACAGGCTCCGGACACGCAGGCTCAGCGGCCATGGCTCACGGGCCTAGCCGCTCCACGGCATGTGGGATCTACCCAGACCAGGGCACGAACCCGTGTCCCCTGCATCGGCAGGCGGACTCTCAACCACTGCGCCACCAGGGAAGCCCTATTGCATGTCTCTTTTCTATTTTTTTCTTAAACTTTGGTTCTTTATTATTATCTTCTCCCTATTTATTTGAGTTTAATTTGCCATTCTTTTTAAATAACCTTTTGAGTTAAATGGGTAGAAAATTAGTATTTAGTTTTTCTATATTTCTAATTATTGGACTTAAGTTTATACACTTCTCTCTGAGCAGAACTTTAGCTGTATTTCACAAGTTTTGATATGTTATACTTTCATTATTTTTTAGTTCCAAATGTTCTCTAAATCCCACTATAATTTTTTTGATCAATGAGTTATTTAGAAATTCAGTGATAAACATCCAAACATATGAGGGTTATCCAGTTATCTTCTTGTTGATTTCTAGTTTAAGTTCACTGTAATCAGAGACAACAGTCTATGATTTCAATAATTTGATACTTGGTGCTTTTTAGACTATTTCCTTTATAGCCCAGGGTATGGCCAATTGTGGTTGATATGCCATATACACATGAAAAGAATATGTATTCTACAGTTGTTTTATACAGTAGTCTGTATAGGTCAATTAGATCAAGTTTGTTAAATGAGGTAACACAGACAAAATAGTTTTAGAAAAATAGTAGGTATATCACCTCAGATATATAGCAGCAGCACTTGTTTTTCTACATTTTTGTAACATATAACTTTAACTTTGGTAGGAAACTGTTTAAAAAAATAATTTCTAGGCATGCTATGAGAATTTGGCAAAGTGGAATTAAGGCATTAACTTTAGTCATTGTATGCAAATTACTTAGCTCTATGAGGCCCAAGCAAAGTGAACCAACGTCTTTTTTTAAGTCTCCACACCCTTTTTCTTTCTTTTTTTACCCCCTACTTTCATGGCTGCCAAGAGCTGCCTTTTTTAAGTATAGATATTGGGCTGACTATTATATGAACCAATTATACTGGTTTCACCCCTTGCCCTCTTGGGGTTTATAAGCCAGAGAGTACCTTTTAAGTATCCTTATACTTTATGTAGGTGAGGATTTAAATGCAATTCAGATATAAATCCAAAGTATATTATTACCTAGTGGAATATAAAGTGCTATTAATGCCATAAAAAAAAAAAAAAAGAATGGAAGGAAGGATGAACATGAAGTAACATATTCATACTATGAGATAAAATTTGCAGGTAAGAAAAGGAGGGGGCTGAATACATTTGCAGAAAAATAAATGAAATACGTTAGCTTAAAATTGAGTTAGAAGTATAGAGAGTCAGGGGCAACCTCAGTCATTGCCCACCTGTGGGAGGAAGAGAATGGGGATGGAACAGTGTAAATAAAGACAAAGTAAGTGAGTGATGTGTAAGGGCCGTAGGAGGGAGTCAGAGTCATGAGTTGGGAAAAGAAGGAAAAAAGGTGAGAAAGATTGCTAAAATTTGTATGATCAGTAGAGTACTTAAGCCT